ACAGCGAGAAATACTACGTTTTTGTGCTTTAAATGAAAAATGACACATAAATAAGCACTTTGCATGATTTTGCCCACAAGATTTACTTTTATTGTTGAAAGAAGTTTAAAAAACATGTATTTTCACACAAAAGAGGCTTGACCACCTGCTACTTATGACGTCGTATCTCGTAACCATAGCAGCTGTTTATCACTGAACGTTCGTCAAAATGTGCGCCAGGGATAAACGAATAGCTACGGAAAACGTCAGGTGCTGATGTTTTATCCCCTAGGAAAAAACTGGAAAAAAACCTTACGGAGGGTGGTATACACCTCCCTCTTCCCGCCCTTGTACGTCCGAGGGATAAAAGGCTCATACCACAAAGACAAAACATTCTGATCGTTGATTTATTTTATTTTATTTTTTATTTTATTTTATTTTTTTAAAGTAATGCTTAATTTTACTGTTTCTACTGAAACTTTTATTTTTTTTATTTTTTTTATTTTTTACAAACATAATGCTGACTTACTTACATAGTACTTACTTAGTTACATAGAGCTTTAATATCTACTTACATATAACTTGCTAAGTTAAATACTACTTACTTACATAATATTAACTTACAAGATAATGCTTGATCGTTGATTTAGGTTGGGCTTGTCGTACCGGTGAAGTTTACAGCCTTCACGCAAGAAGTGAAGAACGCGAAGATTTTGAAGAGATAACTGAATGAAATAGCGTCGAGATATACTCAAGTTGAACTGAAAAACATCACTATTGATGAAAATAAATTCCCATTGCTAGCTTAGAACCGCATTGCATTGATTACGGTGTATTTTCATCACCTTATGGAAATACTGGAATACTCCGGCGCTTGTTAACTTTTCCACTTCATGTTCGGCGCTTAATCGAGGGCGGCACTTATTCGAGTAAATTTTGTAACAATATAAATCTCACAAAATTACGGGAAATTCAAATTTGAAAACGCTATATCTTTTGAGTGGACGGGCATATTTCAAAAATGTTTTCACTTTTGAAATCCTTGTGGTGAATTCTTTCAGAATCATTATCCTATAATACTAAAAATAAAATTTGGCAGGAACTTTGTGACATCATTTTCCCACCAAAAATGCAAAAATCTGAAAGACAGAAAAGATACGTTTTTTCGGAATGGCGAGTTCCATGTTGTTGCAAACTTTCAAGTGAATTGCGGCAAAACTAACAAAGATGAATAAAGGTGAGCATTTTTGATGTCACATGTACCCACCGTGCTTTGACTGTTTGAGTGTCAGATTAGGGAAAGTCGCATTCAATTTGGCGAGTGCAGTGTAAGCTTAACAGAACAAATAGCAATCGTGCTAACATCATGATCATACAATGAAAAAGGCTGATTGACGAGTACATTATGGTCAGTATGTTTATGGTGGCTTTAGACCTTTCACTAATAAAAATAGCCATAGTCAAAATTTGACATTGATTCGTCGTTGCAGTTAACTCTCAAATTAATAATTCAGCACATGTGAAATTCGAGGTACAACTGTGGCTTGAACCATCGCTGTAAAGCGCGATCTACCAAATTAAAATGATACGAATTACAATAATAATAATAATTATTAATATTAACAAATGCTAACTAGTCAGTCCAACGACAACGCGAGGCTGACGAGGCAGCAGCATTGTAGTACCGATGTACGAGGTATCAATACGTACAGGCTAAAAAAAAAATCACGACTGACGAGTAAGGTAAGATAACAAAACGGTAACACAAGAACTAATTAGAGCCAGCGTCTTTTTGTATGACGTCACCATATCATTGGTGTTGTAGTGGTATAGTTGTTTATCCCTTCATCCAGGCGTTCGTTAGTTTTTTTGACATTCCCGCTGGGCATTTTACGAGTTTCATATGTTTTTGTGCTATTTTCAATTGTGCCCAGTTTAGTGGATTGGAGTTTATATTTGAGCCAGCGCGTTCTAAGCGAGCGAACTCAGAAGTGAACCAGTGTGTTGTTATCGGGGAGCGTGCCAGTTATCGAGACTCAGATAAATCTATTCAAAATAAATAAGCAAATCTGAGATCAAACTCGTACATTAAACCGGCTTGTGTGCCACAGTTTAGACTCGGGCTCGGGCTTTAACTGCTCATATCTGAACAAAAGAAACAAATCAAAAACAAAACAAACAACAACAACAACGACAACAACAACAAAACAAGAGAAGAGGCACATAAGTGTACCACGTGCTCAGGCCCGTAGGAACGAAGATGAAAGTGAGAGGGCACGACGGTTGTGGGCCAGACCCGTCACTCTCC